GATGACCAAATTTGGCAGAATTTTGACTTTAACGAGGAAATGACGTCAAAAAAGGCAGCGTTTTTGCAGGTTAAGGCACCGTTAACCGAGAAGACCTGGGGACGAGGTTGTGTTGTTTTGGCTGTGAACTTGAAAAAATGGCGGACATTTCACTCGTTTCAAGAGTAAGAACTAGGCGAAAAAATAGCTAAAAACAAGACAACAACAGCAAGAAGACAACTCGAAGGGCGCCATCTGCTATTTGGAGACCAAACGTCTGAGGCTAGAACGCCAGCAAATCAGGCAAATATTACTGGACTTGGATCAATTGACCTCTGACACGAGTTTCACATTAGAAAAGGTGTTTTTAAACCGAGCGGAACGAGATTTTCGGGTCGCGAGGCGGCCCTGCTAGCGACAAAATCGCGATGAGTCTTCGTGCCACGAGCCAAATTTTAAATAAGACGAAAAACTTCTTCGAAAGGCTAAAATATTACTTGAGAATGTAAACAACAAATCTCCGTCGGCGGTGTGGTCCGGAAGCAGGTCAACACTTATTTCCATCCGCCAAACTGATGTTGACAGATTAATGATTCGTACAAAAAGTAAGGGTTAGGGTTAGGGTTAGGGTTAGTGTTAGGGTTTTTGCCATATATATTCAAATCAAACCATTTATCGTCAGCAACAACAGTGGTGTAAGAGTTATAGTGATAAACTGCAGAGCCGATGCTCCGAGATCGAATCTTACTCGTGCCATCTTGAATTTTTTTTCCTTAAAAATTGAAGAGACTTAGACTTTAATGAACAGAAATTTCAAGAGACAGAGAAATTTCATGTACGAAAAGTGAATTGTCTTGTGAGAGCCACTGAGAGGAAAATGTCAGTTTGGCGGATGGAAACAAGTGACGACCCCGGAAGTAAATCTTGTCGAGTCAATATGACACAACCTCGTCCCCAGGGCTTTTTCCTCAAAAAATGGTTGGAGCGGGAAAAGGCCCTGGCATTGGCTGGTCACGTGTCTCCTCGTACATCCTAAAATCCTGGGTGTAATAAATTAGCGCCATGTGAAAAGCTAAAATTATGCGTAACATCACAGAGCGCGATCTTGGGCGTCTCTTGACGATTAACGAAAAGTTTTACAAGGTTTTCTTTTTTGTCACAGATACTGGCTATGGTAATTTTTTGCTTTCCTCCTATTTCTATGAAGGGGACAGCAAGTAACATTTGTAAAACTTCAGTTTATAGAGCGGTATAAATGACAAACAAAGTATCGTACGTGCATAAAGGTTGTACTGGAAAAGTCCGCTTTCTCGACTCTTCTGATATTTTATTTCATTTCTTGCGAAGTGGGCCGCCGTACACAGCCTAGTTCTATTCACCTTAACTCTTTGCCATATCATAGCGACACGCGTTGGTTTAGACTTATCCTGTATGACCTGTATTTTTAAAAATTTCATTGACCTCCCAGCTCTGCGATCAAACGACTGGCAACAAAAAAAACTTGGGTCTATTTAAAATTGACAGAGCTGTAGTTGATTCCAATCGATCAGTCAATCTTCCCTTTAATATAAGGAAAATCCTTTGTACTTATCCTCGGTGGAGAAAAGATATAAGGGTTCTTCAAATGTTTCAGATCGGCGACCTGTCATCGTTCCTGGCTGGAGGGCTGACTTGCATCCGGCGCGGAGATTTGTTTGTTTTAAAGACCAGACTTCATAAAGCATTTTGATGAACAATTCCATTTCAATTAAGTTCAATTTGTTTAAATTCTCTGCAGACCCTGAAGGCAAAGGCCCGCATTTTTGTTTGACATTGGACAAAATCACATCCCACTTGATCGTTTAGTAATTCCACAGTCACGATGAAGTTTAGTCGAAGCCCCGGGCGAAATAATAGTCGATAACAGTGGGACATAACAGCTTGTCTCAACGCTGAAGCATTTGACATATTTTGTACGTGACAACGTAGAGCCGGTCTGTCTTTCATAAACTTCTAGCATTTGAATAATGCGCAATTAAATGGATCTTAAGCTTCTGAATCGCACACACGCGAAACTATTGTCATAGTTCGCGATGTTATTATTTTCCATTGTTGCTCCCTTCTGTCAGCGCAAAACCAGCGGGTTGCATATCTTAGGAATATTTAGGCTGTACATGTGACCAGCCGATGCCAGGGCCTTTTCCCGCCCCACCCATTTTTCGAGGGAAAAGGCCTGGGCACGAGGTTGAATATGACAGTTCTATTGTCTTTTGAAGAAAAAAACAGATGACGCTCGCGCGTGCGTACAATCGGGACACTGTCCCTTTTAGTGAAGCCCTGGGGACAAGGCTGCCAAACGACGTCACCCAACGTCACCCTTTGGTTTCCAATCGTTTCTACTTAGGGGGTAATTACATGAAACAAGTACGAACTCAGACCGGTACCAATTGGTAATTTGTGCAGCCGTTTACATGAGACCGGGACAAAATGCTTGTCGTTTACATGAGACCGGTACAAACTATAAAACAGGAGATTCTTGGAGCTACATAACTTTCACACGTCGATTATTTAACATATTTCTACTAACGTTCCTAACTGGTAAACAATTTACGCCACTTAACAGTGAGTAGACAAACGTAGAGTTGTACTGCTCCAAGAAAAGAGTTATAAGCTTTATCTAATATAATGCTCATCTGGACTCGCCTGTTAATATTTGCTGCACAGCAATTCAAAATGGTGCAATCCGGCATTAATCCAATATTCAATTGAAGCTACTTCTAAGGCAAAAATCGTGGAGCCATACGAAGAAAGATGCTATATATGGACCCGGTCTGAGATTCGTTTCCAATTTAACTCGTGTTGAGTCATCGACCGAGGCGAAGTTAAACCGGTCTGAGTTCATTTTTAGGCCGGTCCCATGTGAACGCATGAAAAGAAATGTATGGAGACCGATACGAACTCATACTGGTCTGAGTTCGTCCCGTTCGACGACTATCCGGACTTCAAACACGATCACATGACACACGATTGTACAGCCACAGTCGCACCACGAAAAATTCTGGGATCAAGGTCAGACATAATTCTTCTTGATCCGCTCCTTGTGTTTCAACATGAATGGGTCAGTACTACAACACTCTTTCCTTTTTATTACAAGGTAATGCTATCAATGAGAAATATGCTATTACAGTCAACTATCCGTAAGGCTACCACCCAAAATGCGAATTTAGTGGGTCACTTACGAAAATCAAACCGTAATTGTCTCTTTCGAGAAGAGGTGCCGAAACTGCCGATCTACACTTACGTTTTGGAAGAGAACTTATTGCATGCAATGTGTTGAGTTATGATATTCGTTTTTCCGTGTTGTCACTAATACATGTAGTTCTTTTTATATAATCCGAGTAACATACAGCGAACTTATTCTAAGAAATCAAGCAGTGTGTCAAGTGGTCGCTTACAAGAGATTACAAGTGATCGTTTTGTGAAAAGTCCGAACCCAGTTGAAAGGAAATAGCTCCGGGTCGACTTCACAGAAAAGACACACGTACTCTAATGGTTCAGCAAACTTTGTATTTCTTCTAAAGCTTCAGCGTTGTTACAAATCAACTTAATCTCACACTAGCCTGTACTATCTCTCTCACAAAAGCCTGTTATAGCTTCTTTTATCCTGACTGTACATGACAGGTGCAAATCCTAATCATTTGAAATTTAATCTTACATCAGTAAAAACCCGATTGGGTGTAAGGAATATTATCATATTTTCCTTCGAGGTTATGACGCAGTCCGAAAATCAGCTTTGACTTATAGAATTCACTTATACTAAGTCCAGTTAATGGCCAGTCAAAACAAAATAGTCAGAGAGATATAAAGATCACAAAGAATGTATTTATATATATATACCTGGATTTTTAAAAACCGGGTCAGCAAAAATATCAACTCATTCTACTACTAGATAATTTAAAACAACAAAACTCATTCAAAGGCCGATTAAAAGCCTTAAGTAGTTTCCATTGGAAAGTGAAGTGCTGCAAGTAAAACATGACATTTCAAATAATTTGCATCAGTTGCAGTTTATTTCGATTGTTTATATTTCAGATTAACCGTGTCAAATAACTTTGCATGTAACGCTACACGACACGAAGGTGATCGAAAAAAACTGAACTTTGAACCAAAATAAGTGTTTATATCACGCTACATTGTATGAAAGTCCGTGAGAATAAATCAGGGTATTATTTGTCTGAAACCTGTCCACGATAAAGTAAAGAGCACGCGAGCGTTGGAGTAAGTGAAGGAGTGAATTTCCAATCGACTTCAATATTAAACTGGTTCATAAAGCATCACGAGCGTATCAAATCATTTTCAATCTTTGCTTCCGTCGTGTATAAAACGTTTTACTACCAAGAGAAAACAAACTTTGTCACACTTTCTAGAAAAACTCTTAATAACTAAAAATGAAAGCAATTTATCAATTAAACAAATACAACAAAGCCTGGCTGAATACAAATTCAGCCAAAACACCGACTTCATTTACCGTAGAGTCCAGGAATTGCTTGAAATATTCTGAGAAACGTATCGCTTCAATTCACGGGAATTTTTTTACCTTCACTTGCATCCATACTCGTAAACATAAACGTGCTGTCTATACCAAACAGGATTTGGCCTGGGCTTTAAGTTTTCCACATCACACTTTATTTGTGTTCTGAACGAACGAAAGAACCTCGATTTTGAGAGCCCTAATTGAAATCGAGGCAAATGCGGTGATATACATACATACATACATAAATGCCAAGTCTAATCTCACGTTGACATCAGACAACCTTGATTATACTACGCTCTAGTCCTTCTGTTGAGCACTCTGCCGATAGCCGTGCATTTACATCAAGTGGTATATTGAAGCTCCTCTACTGTTGAGCACTCTAAGCAGTGACTATCACAATGGAATCAACGAGATTTGATCACTCCACCAAAGACATACCTCTACCATCTGAGAAGGATTATAAACCTACGCTGATTGAAAAGACCGAGCACCTCTGCCGACAAATGAGATGGAAAGCGTTTTCTACCTCAACCCTAGCGCAGACAGTAGTCAGAAAGAGACGTTTGGATTTCCCTCTAGAAATTCGCCTCCGCAAATACAGGCGATGCAGGACTTTGAGAAAAGGCTTCTACATATGATAGAGAAGATCAAATTTCGGACAGTAAACTGTAAGTTTCAGCATAAGCTTTCTTCAGACATTCAGGAGAACATCATGAAATCTGACAAGCTCTTGGTACCCACGGACAAGACTTCAAACTTTTACAAAATGGACACACAATCATATAACGATCTACTGAAGAAAAATATTACTAAGACCTACAAGAAAGTAACCCCGGACACAGCGGATTCCATTGAGCTGAAGGCCAAAGATATTACTAAGAAACTACACCTAGATGGCAGGATAAACACCACTGCCAAACGTGAAGCCTTTATTACTCTCAAAGACCACAAGCCTAATTTCGCAAACAACCCCACTTGCCGCCTTATCAACCCAGCTAAATCTGAGATTGGAAAGATCAGCAAACAGCTCCTTGAATGCATCAACACTGCACTTGTTAGCAAGCTGAAACTAAACCAATGGGAAAATACTAAGGCCGTCTTAGCTTGGTTCACTGGCATACAGCATAAAGAGTTGCACTCATTTATTGCATTAGACGTGGTAGAGTTTTACCCATCGATCTCCATCGACTTGCTGGCTGCCGCTCTCGAATTCGCATCGAAGCATGTCACCATTTGCGACGACGAACGGCATATTATCCTTCAGGCAAAAAGTTCTCTTCTCTACAACTCCGGTGAACCATGGAGCAAGAGAACGTCAATCAAACCTCTTCGATGTGACCATGGGCAGTTTCGATGGCGCCGAATCATGTGAACTCGTCTGCACTTACCTCCTCCACAACATCAACATCATCATGTACAGAGATGACGGTCTAGGCGTAACCAAGGCATCACCTCGGCAGGCCGAGCTTATTAAGAAGGAATTGTGTAGCATTTTCGCCAAGCACGGTCTGAAGATTACTATCGAGGCCAATAAGAAAGTAGTAAACTTTCTTGACGTCACACTTAACCTGGCTAACGGTAAATACTTGCCATACAACAAACCAGGACACATTCCACTCTACGTCAACAAGAAATCTAACCATCCACCCAACATCATCGAAAACATCCTAAAGTCCATTAACAAAAGGCTGTCCGAAATCTCTATAGATGAAGATTGCTTTAGCAAAGCGGCACCTCTTTATCAGAAAGCTCTCGATGATAGCAGGTGCAAGCACAAACTTGCGTTCTCTGTTCCTACGGCACAGTCTCCGAACTCTGGAAGAAGGAACCGCCATAGAGACATCATTTGGTACAACCCCCCTTTCAGCAGGAACGTGGACGATCCTTCCTAAAGATCCTCGACGAAGAATTTCCGAAGGGCCATGCGCTGCATAAAATCTTCAACCGGAACACAGTTAAGATCAGTTACAGCTGCATGCCGAATCTAAAGCAAAAAATTGATGGCCACAACAAATCCACCCTACGGAAAACAAACGCCGTACCACCTAAAGCTTGCAACTGCCGTCAACCAGCTCACTGCCCTCTGGACCGTAATTGCTTAAAATCAGCCGTGATCTACCAAGCCACAGTAGCAACGGAGGACAACAGGCCAGCCGAGACCTATGTAGGCCTTACTGAGAACTCTTTTAACACCAGATACTCGAACCGTAAGTCGTCTTTCAGAGACCCAAACAAGAGACTCAGTACGGAACTCAGTAAGCACATCTGGCACTTGAAAGACGCTAAGATTGGATTTAGCTTAACTTGGAAGATCTTAAAGCAAGCCGCGCCGTTTAATCCCGCTTCAAATCGCTGTAATTTTTGCCTGTGGGAAAAATATTTCATTATTTGCAGAGCCGATCTGGCGAGCTTGAACAAACGAAATGAACTTGTAACTTCCTGCTGGCACCCGCGTAAATTCCTTCTTAGCAGCTTTACATCTTCCGTTGGCACGCAATAGTTTCCCGCATTCAAATTCCGCGCGCGCGTTTGTAGTCCTAGCGTATGTTGTAACGAACTTTTTGTTGGCAATGTTATCTGAGGAGTGCCGTACATGCCGTGCGGTACGAAACTAAGTAGTAATAAAAATGCCAAGTCTAATCTCACGTTGACACCAGACAACCTTGATTATACATACATGCATACATACTTGTATTCTGGGTAGAACGTATTTCGTAGGCCACTCTATTCATTTAATTGAAGAGCATTGACTATTAATAATCACAGGAGTTCAGGCTTCAGGAGTAATCATTGATCGTTTATTGCGACAGTGCTGTTTAGTATGGTCCGAAATTGTAGGACCACACTCATCAAGCAACTTCAACGATTGACCGTTAAAATTAAAAGCTGGCAGTAAAATTCGGGTCAGTTGTTATAGGGATGTGTTAAGAGATTGTATCTAGGTAACAGATGGATTGTGTCTTAGTTACGTTACTCTAGAGTTCCTGAAGTACATATCTGTTTCTGTGGGGGCATGAACTCGCTAGTTCGTTTCATATATACATACATATTTACAATGAAGCTGGCTTCGGGAACAGGCAACCCAGGCTGGTCACGTACGCGACCTGAATTAGTATGCTGCGAAGCCACGCTGCGGAGCCTGGTGGCTTCGCAGCAATAAGCGGATAATTTTTTTAACGGCTAGATAGATTTTTTTAAAAATTTAAGATTCTTGAGATTAATTTACAAGTGAAAGTCTCTCATTGTTCAAGGGTATTGTCTCCAAGCTTTATTTTCACGTGGACAGAAGTAACTAACAATGCACTTGAAATATGCAAAAATGCTAGCTATTGTTGTCCACGAAAATATGAAACTTGGAGACAATACCCCTGAATAATGGAGGCTCTCACTTGTAAACACAAAATTTCTGACAAGTTGTAGTCCTTATTTTGCTACCTGACGATATATCAAGAAACCACCCTCATTTCCAAAATGCTGTTTGAGAATTAAATGATGAAATGGGAAGGTAACATTCATATATCAAATAGAAAGTATTGTGAACTTTCTACCTAATTAAATAACTGGTCAATTGAAAACCCCTCCCCTCTGCAAAAAAGGGAGGAACTATAGCCTGCGTGGCGAGCGCTAAAAAGGGAAGGGAGAGAGAGGGGGAGAAAAGCGCAAATTCATAACGAGCCGCACCGTCTTGGCAACCAAAAAAATTTTGTTTATCAAGCTGAGATAGGGGACTAAAAGTCCCCTATCTCAGCTGGATACTCAGAAGCTTGTAACATTCACTATTCCATTTATCTCTGATCATATTTCGCATCTAATACGATAGAGGCGTCAATTTTCGCGCCATCATGTCATCATTCTAGGGCGAGAAATTTAATTAAAAGCGCGGCATCCAACAAATGTACGGCTCACGTTTCGG